AAAAATATACTTTCCGAAATCGGCCTATTTCCTTTTAATTTCTATAAAGCTATTGAATGTACAGCAAAAACCATTAAAATGGATTCATATTAATGGAAGATAAACCATCAAATTCAATTATTCACTTTTCTATGTTGGCCTACGATTGACTAAAAATTTGATGACAATGATTCACTTTTCTAATCTTGATGGTCTCATTTCTCCACAATACTCAAGAAAATTTTTCAACCCAGATTTTTAAAAAGTGACATTTTGTCTGCAGTTCCATGAATATGCCTATTTTTGTATGCATTTTTCCATACAAATTTAAATGTTTGTGTATATTGCCAATACAATTCAATGCATTTTTAAGGTACTACTGGTAATACTTTACAGTTTATTGACTATTGCAAAATCAGAAATGTATGGATCTCAACAGATAACTGCATTCTGATCCCTTTAGGGAGTGTTAATAAGGTAAGGTTATCTCCAGTATGAATGAAACACATTTCTCCCTGCTTTATATATTACAGCTATATTTACCTAGAATACTTGGAACATCTCTTTGTATTGCTTTGGGAAAAGAGGTTTGGAAATACTTGGTGGTATTTCAGAAATCAATAAAACCTCTAAAATATATATTTTGAGAGAACATGTGAATTGTGCCATTTCTAAACTGTTAAAAACGCTCTCTACCCTTTTGTAACATCCAGATATACTACATATTTTATTGTGCATATGCAATTATTATACACCCCCACATACACATACACACTGTATGACTGACTGACTGACTGACTGACTGACTGACTAATTAATTAACTAACTAACTTGAATCACTGGCCCAAAGACCTCCAACCACCTTTTATGACTAAGGTAGGAGTAGAGTTCACAGTTTCCTGCTTTCTTCACCAGTTCCTTCACCAACCAAACAGTACTCAATACTTAGGAATAAAGTCAGTTAGGAATCATACAAAAATGATAATTTCCCGGTTATCTTTTTAAACTATGTGACAAATTTATCTTTATTTATTTTTATTTTTTTTGTCAAGTATGTATTAGGTAATATTTTTCCTCCCTCTCAATCCACTCATTCTTCGTATATTTATTTTGTGATTCTATCCTCATTCACTTCTGTGTGACCAAACCACCTCAGTGCATATTTCTTCACTGGCCACTCAATTCTAAATGTAGTCTACACTGAATCTAATATCCATTCAATTTTGATTCTATCTTTTTGTTTTACTACACACTTTTCCTAAGTAACCCATTCCCACAACTTCAGCTTATTTTCCTCCTAATATACCCAATTTCCCATCCAAGCATGTTATTACATAAACCAATTTTGTTTCTCCCAATAATCATTCTGTCCTCACATATTATTCACCATCTTTATACAATGTGACCTCCAGGATGCCTTCCAACTATGTTATTCTAAGTTCTGGAAGGAAAACACCCCAGTCCAATTCAAAGCAAGACATAAATTATTGCATAAGAGCCCTCTCTGAAGTTCCAATGGGTCAAGGGGCTAACTGGTTCTTCAACTGAGGAGAAATTAATCTCTTGTTTATTCGTGAGATGTGTAACCTCTCCTTCCTCCAAAAATCACTGAGCAAGGTTTTTTACCTTTACTGTGGAAACTGTTACTATATTGGAAAATCAGAAACAATGGCAGCAATTATGAGCCTTGTGTATTGCCAATCCATCTCTGCTGCTGTTTTCCCATATCATTTCAGAATCAGAAAACCTCTGATATCAGAAAACCTCTTGAACTTGCTCATAGTTAGTTTTATAGAAAACGGCATACGGCTTAATTTTGTAACAAAGATCAACAAGTGCATTTTCCCAGAAATGATTGAGTACAAAGAGGCTCTTTGTAAGCCATTGAGGGATGTGGAGAAGATGAAAGCATTATTTCTATCCAAAATAATAAATAAAATCATAACTCTACTGAATTAGTCAAAACCAGTTTTTACTCAAGCAAAAGAAAGACATTGTGATAGAGTTAAGGAAATTAGGCAGGTACCATCTTAACATGGAACTAATAAGATAAGTTTGAACAGTTAATCAATCTCAAAGAACTGTTATGATGTTGATAAAATCTCCATCTGTGTTGCCTTGGTCTGCTAGATGAATAGTGTAATATTTACTTATTCATTATTCTTAAATTTAAATAAATAAATAATAAATAATTTTATTTCTATACCGCCCTTCTCCCGAAGGACTCAGGGCAGTGTACAGCCTATTAAAAACACAAAGACAAACATCAGTTAAAAATAATTAAAATTATTACATAATTTTGGCTCAGATTTAAAACCCCCAAAATTTAAAACCCCCAATTTAAAATTAATAGTAAATTTACAATATACTATTAATTTAAGTTACAGTGTAGGTAGCATAACTTTAAAAGAAAGAAAAGGGTGTTGCATATTTCTTCATAATGTGGATTTATACACATAATTCATTCCCACAGGCTTGGATTTAGAGTATATATAAATGTTTGGTTATGTCCAACATGGATATTCTTATCTAGCTAGCAAAATGTCCATTGTGATAAGGCAGAATGTGATAGAGAAACAATAGAAACCTTTGGAAATAGGATCAGGTTCAATACACAGGAAGTGCCATGAATGGAAGCCTATTGATTTGACATGGGTTTCTTTCATAGATGCTTGGCTTCCTTGAGTCAGAGAAAGACAACAAACATTGCCATTGTAAGGCTGTCCCCAAATACAGCTCTTTTCTTTTACTCATGGGCTGAAATGGGAAGGAAAGATTTTCGTGGAGAAAACTCCAACAAGTAGCCTATCTATCCCATTCCATGCAGAGTTTATCATCTTTATGCAACATACTTGTGTGTATTGTTAATCTTACACTGAGCAAAGAACACCCTAATGGAGACAAAACAAATTAAAATCTAGCCTCGTTTTATTTTTCTAGATCTTCCAGTACACCTGTTTGGATGTAGTAGAATGTATCTTTAACTTTTTAACTGTAGCTTTTAACTATTCTCAAGTTGGTTTTAATGGTGGAACGTTGTCATGTTTACTTGCATTTTAACTGTGTATGCAAGTGAGATGGGTGGCCATATTTAATAAACCAATCAACCAACCTAGGAATTAATATATGCAGACACTCATAATAAGTACCTTGCAAATTAATCATTTGATTTATAGTCGATCTTTTCTCCAAGAGTTGAAGAATTTGTATAGACTGTAGTTCTCCCTTTCCCAACAGGTAGTTGTTGACTTACAACAGTTCATTTAGTGACTGTTCGAAGTTACAATGGCACTGAAAAAAGTGACTTATGACCATTTTTCACACTTAATGACCATAGCAGCATGGTCAAAATTCAGATGCATGGCAACTGATTTATATTTATGACATTTGCAGGGTCCCGGGATCATGTGATCACCTTTGTACCCTTCTGAAAAGCAAAGTCAACGGGGAAGCCAGTTTCACTTAACAACCATCTTACTAACTTAACAACTGCAGTGATTCACTTAACAACTGTGGCAAGGAAAGTCGTAAAATAAGGCAAGACCCACTTAACAACAGAAATATGGATTACCTATATTTTCTCCCTACAACAACCCTGTGAAACGCATTAATTTGAGAAAGGAAAGTTGATCTCCTCTTCTATTTCATCCCCATCTGTATCAAAAGTGTTTTATCCTCTTTTTCTCATAGCAGAAACTTCTGACCCAGTTACTGCAGGTTGGTGACAAAGTCAGTTCTTATCTACAAAAGCATATCTATAATTATGTCAAATTTTAAGGTGCCAGAGGATTATTTGATTCATAAAATGACAACTCTGACCAGTAGTATGGCAATGTGATAATTAGAGAACATACATGTTGTGTCCTCCAAGACACTTTTAATGCACTTTTAATGAAAGGATCCAAGTTCTACAAGCAATGAGTTTCCATTCTTTTTTCCCCCTGCGTTTCATTCTGTTGAAAGTCCATGAAAGCACCTGTCCTAATGTAATCTCAGTGCTAATCTAGTCTATTGTGCTAACATTTTCTCAAAGAAGACTACTGTGCAATGATGGATGGAGCGATTCTAGAGCCTTGAATGAAACTATGTGAGATTATGCATGTGCATTCTGGAATCTTTTTCCCGAAGGAGCACTTTGGAGGAACGCAATTTTTCTTTTTAACGTGCAATGTGCTTCTAGTACAGCTACCTGTATTTTTGTTTGGACTTTTTAGCTGCTATCATTAACTGCCTTAACATCTTAATATGCATTTGTGAACCTATGCAAATATAATAGGGCGCACGGAACAGAATATATTTACATTTGAATCCCTGAGCACTAAAATAGAAAATGCACAGTTGTAATGTAACAGGTCAAGAGACTGAATATGCTTTTCCTTTAAGGGGGAAATGATAAAACCTACTAGACAACTAATGATTCTATGGATCACCATTTCAGAGGTATTTCCTTACCAGATTCCTCTATGCCTTCAACAACGGCTCAGATTCTACTGGTTAAATACCGGTACTTGAAAAGTTCCTAAAAATTCAGGGAGTTGTTCAGAGATGTATCTATTTGAAATTAGCCCTTCCTTCAGCTGCATAAGACAATCAAACATCAGGAGTTGGCTACAGAAAATGTTTGATGACACCTTGTAGTATTCATAAAATGTTTAATGATAATTTTATGTCCTGAAAAGATTTATAAAATTTGCCAGATTTCAATTCCACAGAGTTATGGGCCCTGGATTTTGAATGCATCCTTGTAAGTTATGAAAAACCTTGGTTCAAAAATCGTTGCCCTATGATGTTTTTCCTGGTTAAAGATTATGAGAACAAAAGATTTAATAGTAGATAAATTGTTAGTAATAATAGCGATAAACAGTCTGGAAATCAGCTTCTGCTCCCTGCAGAACTACTGCTCTACGCCTACAAATATCAGAGTACCAATAAAATCACATTGGTTCCTAGACATCCATGCTCCGTTTATTCACGAGCCCCTCAGCCGTTGTATGACTATCCGCCACTGTTCGGTAGCTTACCCTCTATGTTGAAGATAGTCAGATGAGGCCTACAGTGGAAAGCACCCATCGCGTTTCCTGCGCAGTTCATCCAGAGACCTTGGAAGACCCAAGTTGCCGTTATCACTGAAGATGCTCGGCTGGTGACTTTCCATTCGTTTGAGGCCGTGGCTGCAATAATTGCCCCTATCCCACAGAAACAGAAGAGGAAAGCAACAATTTGTATTCCCGACATGTTCCACGGATGCCAATCAACTTCCAGTGGCTTATTCTGTTGCAATGAGGAGTAGCAAACCCACGAGCCTGGCTAGTATAACATTACCACATTACATGAGAACAAGTGTTCAATGAGTGGCAAGGCCGATGTAAATGCAGTCATTCTTCATATCTGACTGATATCTGACACTGTGAGCCAAGTATCTCTGTGAGACAATGAGTACAAAATGCTGGGATCCTTCAGTTGTAGCCCCCAATTTAAAATGTAGCATCATTAATTTGTAATTCTGGAATGTTATTCTTTAATATTTTTCTGTTTTTGGTATTCTAGCGTTCAGTTAATGCTTAATTTTTTGTTAATCTGAAACACAACACATTTCCAACTAAAAAAGAAGAAGAAGAAAAGAAATAGGTGCAGAGTCCAAATGGTACTTTTAGCATTTGGCATTTGTTTGGCCAAACGTGTTTAAATATTTTTTAATAGGAGGCTTTGTAAGCTAAAGTTTACATAAGAGAAGCCCTGCCCGATTGGACCTATCAAACCTAGGATACTGTTGCATGTGGAAATCCTATACTGAAGATAGATAGAATCATAGGATAGGTAGGGACCCAGGGTGGGCTTCAAAAATTTTAACAAGGGGTTCTCTGCCCAGTTGCTGGGTGGGAGTGACCTAGTCAGCCTCCCACACCATGGTGTGTATGGGGGGTGCTTTTTGCCCTCCCCGGGCTCTGAAGGCTTTCCTCGAGCTTCTGGGAGGGCAAAAACAGCCTCCCCAGGCTCTGGTGGCCCTCTAGAGGCCTGAAATGGGCCTGTTTCCAGCCTTCCTGAACTTCCGGTAGGCCCGTTTTTCACCCTCCCCGAGCCTCCCCGCACGCCCTGTGCTTACCTGCATCCAAAATGGGCCATGTGGGGACTCCTGGGAGGGGAGGGGCAGGGTGGGTGGGCCCAGCCAGGAGTGGGATTTGGGGGTTCTCTGAGCTGCACAGAATCTTAGCTAGAGGTTCTCCCAAACCCCTGCAAACCCCCAGCAGCCCACCCCTGTAGGGACTTTGGAGGTCTTCTAGTCCAATCCCCTGCCCAAGGCAGGAGTCCTTCTACCATCCTAGAGGGTTGCCCAAGCCTCCAGTAAGGCATCATCCATGACTCCGGGAAGCAAGCTGTTGAATTTGATTAACCATTGTTACTGTCAGGAAATTCCTCCTTATTTCCAGGTTGGCTCTCCCTCTGATGAGCTCCACCCATTGCTTCTTGTCCTGCCCTCAGGTGCTATGGAGAATAATCAGCCCCTTCTTCCCTATGGCAGCCATTCAAGTACTGGAAGACTGCCATTGGAAATATGAAATCGTCCTCAATGATAGTCATTAGAGAACCTCCTTGGGCTCAAGTTTCTAGTTCTGGGGAAAGAAAGATCTCATTGTGTAACTGAAAAGAGGTGGAGAAAGCAACAGTATCTTGAGGGCAGAACTTAGAAGCAATATATGCATAGCAGAGCAAGCGTAGCCATTTCTGACATATTTTGACCTCTAAAGCAGAGTGGAGAACATCTGGCTCAGAGTCCTAATCCTATCTAGCTTGGTAGAGCCTAGAAGAGGCCTACATAAGGCCATTTCTTCCCCAAACTCTGCCCGTTCTTCTCCACCATTGGTGACTATCTCCATTTGGCCCTCAAGCACCGTTCCTGATGTCATAGACCCACTGGAGCAACTAAGGTGTGCAGCCTCTTAGGCTAGATTCCAAGTTGCTCAAGTTTTAAACACCTGTGTATATTTGTGGTATAAAGCCATTAACACCAGAGATCATAATTGTCTAAATTAGTCTAGAAAAGTCAATGACTCTTCCCCATGTAATTTTAAATATGGTATAATTAAATATAAGTGTGGATCCATAACAGACATTATTCTGCTGGTTATAAATATTGCCTCAGCTTTGTCCTTTTGGCCGAATGTAGTCTTTGTATAGGATCCACCATAAATCAAACTGACTAGTTTCTTTAAATTGGTTCTATTCTTCAGGTAATTCGGGCCAATTCTTTTCACGTAAACTTTTTGCTTGATTCTTCATAGATTTCTGAGGAAAAGAAAATGAAAAAATCCCAAGTCTATTAAGAAAATCATTTGTTTTTGGCTGTTTCTTCTCTGCATGTTGTGAGTGTTGTTATTTTAAGAGAGATTCATCTTTGCAACTATCCATTTCATTTGCCTTCAGATTTTTCAAAGTAGGTTAGAAAATCCCAAAGGTGCTTTTTTCAAGAGGCAACTGGACTTTCTGGTTTTTCTTTGAAGACGTTTCATTTCTCACCCAAGAAGCTCTTCAGCTCTGATTGGATGGTGGGGAATGGAAGGATTTATATTGCTTGCAGACAGCTGGTCATTTGCATCCTTTTAGAGGGTCGTTGAGGCCCCTTGGAGGTTTCTTAGATGGGAAATGGGGTATCTGAAGGACTTCTGCAAGAAGTCTGATGCAGTCTTGATGTTTTAAAAGGAAGATAAGTGCAGATGTATTCAGAACCCATTAGACAAGATAGGAGTTAACATAAATAATAATAAAAAAAGGTTTTGGATCAAATCGCATTAAGATAGAGGAGTCCTCTGGATATTGAGATTAAAAGCATGCAGCTCTCGTGAGTGGATTCTGACAATCACAATTTGTATAAAGAATTTCCTAGTTTTTTTCTGTAATTCTTTCTGCAGAAAAATATCCCAAACTAATTTTTTTCTCCTTCCTGCAGTGGAAATATAATTACAAGAAAAGAGTTCGGAAGGGAAGGGGATGTGGAAGAAACAAAAACAACAAAGCAGAACTCCAAGGAGATGAGAATTGGGCGGTAGTTTCCTGTGCCTGATCCACATACACTTGGAGCAATACACAGAGCTCTGGCAACCTACGTTTAGCTGATTGCACATTATTGCACATTATTCAGCCAAAACACTTAGAAGTTCTGATGTGGGAGGAGTGAGTTAATCAGTCATTTATTTTAGGGTTCAAAGCTCATTTGTTAACCTATTTGCATCTTTACCTCTTCTTTTTAGGCACACTTCTGAAGTGTACAAAAACAAGTTTATCCTAGTAGATAAAAGGCCTTTGGATTGTAAGGAGGCTGGTGAATCACAGATATACAGTAGGTAATGATCTGCCATATTACTAACTTTAAGACCAATCAAGACCAGATTAGTATATACAAAAGCCTTTACATCAATAAACAGGACATCACCAGTGAGCGTCCCTATGCAGGAGGGTGAATTAGAAACTAAGCCTCCCTGCTCCCCACCCCCCCAGGCATATTGGGTTCACCGTTTAAGCTGCTTGGCCTTTTACTCATGGCAGCTGAAGTTGACAGCAGCTGAGGAAAAACAGGTCTGGACACTAAGTGACAAAGTCATAAAGCACAGCATTGCAGGGCCGCATTGTTTAGTGACAGCAATCCTGGCACTCTCCATTGCCATCTTTAACTGAAAATCATGGGTTGTTAAAACAAGTCCCAGGTGGCTTGCAAGCACGCAGGGAGATAAGCTATGGCTCCAATGTGACAAGGCCTAGGATAGTTGTTGATGGGTGGAGGAAGCAGTGAGCGACTTACTGGAGCAGCTTGCAACCTGCCCTGCCGGCTTCTGTATTGCTTGTGAGAAGCTGGCAGGGAAGGTCGCAAATGGTGATCATATAACCGTGGGACGCTACAATTTTTATAAAGGCAAGCCGGTTGCCAGGCGTCCAAATTGCGATCACACGACCTCAGGAATACTATGTAGGATGGTTAGAAGTTCAAGGACCAGTGGTAAGTACCATTTGTTTATTGCCATTATAACTTCAAACAGCTGCTGGTTGTTAACAAGGTCTACATGTATTCACATATTCTCTCTTTTCTCTCTTTCTGCACATATGTACACAAAATTGAATTCAATTTATAGATGCAAAATGAAAGCATCAATATTCACATACTGTTAGAAATTCTGTTTTATATAAAGCACCACAGAGCAAACAAAGAGTACAGTCACCATGTGCTTTACTGCTCAACTGTATAACTGTAACAGGAAACTCTCCTCAGAACACAAAGAAACCACTGATTATAACCATAGATGCACAATAAATACTGCCATCTACTGCTGAATTCTTGCAATACTAATTCTTGTAATTGTTGCAATACAAAATAAATTCTAATATATATATTTATATAGAATAATGGAAATTAGTTAATAGGTGACGTTTATGTACTGTATATGTAAATTTGTCTCTCAATTGTGAGAAACTTGTACGTGTTTTTTTTTAAATGTTCTTTCTTTTAAACAATAAAGTTTATATTAAAAAAAAAAAATTCTAATATGTATTCCAGGGGTGCCAAATTCGTAGCCCGTGGGTCGGATGGGTTACCCGCTGGCCACCCCCACCCCTGGTTTAGCGAAGGGGGGAAAAGTTGCAATATGTCACGTGACAACACAACAATGTGAGTTTGACACTCCTGATGTATTCTAACACATACTTGCAGCATAGCAAATAATTTTTTTCTTATTATTCTACTGGTTTATGAGTACTTTCATCTTCCCCTTGTTACAAAATAGTAAAACTCATATCACAGCTGTTGCTGGTTTGAATCACAGGAGAAACTCTTTGTTGAAAATAATTATCCTTCTTTCCTCTTTCTCACTTGGCTTTATTATTTCTTTTTTTGTGATTTTCTTAGTCAAATGAGGTGGAACGGTTTCACCATTGTATGTTTCTTGGGCTATTTGGAAGCTGATAATGAAAACTTGCTCCCTCAAGTATCTGGTTACAGCAGCACTGAAAAACAATTATGACCAGTTCTCATACTTATAACCTTCAGGGATAAAAAAAATAAAGGAGGGGGGAGTAGGACAAGAAGTAATGGGTGGAAGCTTAACAAAGAGAGTTTCAACCTAGAACTAAGGAGGAATTTTTGACAGTGAGATGAATTACATAGTGGAACAGGGTTGCCTCTAGAAGTTGTAGGTGCCATCACTGTTGGGTTTAAGAGGAGATTTCACAGCCATTTATCCAGAATTGTATCAGGTCTCCTGCTTTAGCAGGGGGTTGGACTAGAAGGCCTCCAAGGTCCCTTCCAGTTCTGTTATTCTGTAATAATTCTGTAAAGGGAACTTAGTTCTCTACTTGAGTTACAGGCAGTGGTGGGTTGCCCCTGGTTCGGACCGGTTCTATAGAACCAGTAGTAAAACTGGTGGGAGGCTCCGC